AGCTCAATGGGCTAGGTGTGTGTAGAAGGTCTGGATTTAGTCTCCACAGCACCTCTGGGAGGGATTCTCAAACATAGAATCAGAGGTGACCTACCTCTGAGTACCACTGGGTGGCCCCAGTACCCACCAACACCCAAATTTAATGGAAACCAGGTCAGAGAAAGAACCTCCAAGTGAACCAGGGAAGACTCAGATAAACCCATGGTACTGGATTAGACTAGAGGACTTTAATCTTACCTGATGCTTTAATCATATGATAACAAATATAGAAATAATGGTAATTGGAACCATATATTTCCCATCTGTCTCTTAAGGGCCCAGGAGCAGTGATATCCTTATACCAAAGTACTCCCATACCCAGATCTAGGTTTCCAGTACAGCCCCCATCAAGAGGAACCAGTCATTTTTGGAGAAATGCAGAATGGCTGTGTCAGAGACTGTAGAACCCAACCTCAGAAAGCTCCTGTTATCCAAAGAGAGAACAATTTGGACTACAGGATAGCCAGGTCACGGTCACGGTCCTCCCGTTGTTCATCAATTTGCTCGAGCGGGCTCAGTAACGTCTCCATCGTGAAACTTGTTACTGTGTTTAGCATATTGAATACGTCACAGGGAGCTTTCCAGGCTTTGCTGTGCGGGCGAGATACTCTCGGTAGCTTGCTGGGCTCTCCGAGAGGAGCAGAGGAATCAAACCTGGCTCAACCAAGCTGGCTGCGTGCGAGGCAAATGCCCTACCGCTGTGCTATCACACCAGCCCAGATAGCCAGGTAGTGGGTTGTAATACAAAGTATGACATACATATATGTGAGTATGTTGATATAAAATAACTAAAAAAGTGAAGGGATGGGGTGGGGGGAGATCTATCTTCCCTCTTTTAGGATAACCCCACGGTAAGTGGATACTCCTATTAGGAATAGATCTTAATTTGCTCTTACCCTCTGAGTATGGCCTGGACTGAGTGACTCTCACGAGAAAAAGAATATAGAAAAGAGAAAAATAATAGTTGTGTAGTGCAGAGGCCTATTCTATACCTTTTAACAAAGTGATCACAATCAAAATCGTCATGCTTAGATAAGTGAGATACATATGTTGTACTCGCGCAACAGAATAGGAACATGTGTTTTCTCTTTGTTGTTCTTCCCCCAAAATCTGTAACCCCAGTCTAGACACAAGGAAAATATTGAACAAACCCAAGTTGAGGGACATTCCATACGATGTTTTTATAAATATTGAAGTAATGAGAGCTGAGAAGATGCTGAAAGGACTGGGATGCATGCTTTCTCTCTTCAGTCCTTGTGCCTTAGTCCCTGGTGCCTCAGCGTCCCTGGGAGTGACCCCTGAGCTCCGTGCCTGGGTGAGCACTTTTCGGTGTGGTGCAAGAAACAATATGAGTAAATTAAAAATAATAATAATAATAATAAAGTTCACTTAAAACAAGGAAGATGAGGTTTTCACAGAGCAGAGGAGACTAAAGATTCATAAGAGCTAATTACAATAGGTTCTTAATTGGATCCTGAGTAGAAAAATGACAGTAGCAAGATGCTGCTAAATAGAACATAGTTTAATTAATAATACTGCTTATTAATGCTAATCTCTTACCTTTGATAGGCGTCCCATGTGAGATGTTAACTTGGGAAAAACAGTGAGGAGTATGCAAGAACTCTGCTATCTTTACAGTTTTTCTATAAATCCCAAATTGTTCCAAAATGAAGCAAGTTTTTTTAAAAGTCTACTTCTCATCCCCTAGCTATCCAGTTGTCCTTCCATAGAGAAAATCGGTGTTACTAGTTCTTTTGTCTTTTGCAGGGATACAAATAGAAACAGACCTCACTCCTTTTAAAACAATGCTCTGACACTGCTGTACACTATTTATATTCACGGTATTCAAAGTAGTGTATTTACTACTTTTGGTGTTTGTGTGTGTGTGTGGATGTACATGTCTTCAGTCTTTTTTGAGTAGCTGCAGAGAAATCTATTATATAGATGTACTATAATTTATTTGACTAGATTCTAAAGGATGGCCATTGGTTTTTTATAGTCATTTGCTGGGCTGGAGCGATAGCACAGTGGGTAGGGTGTTTGCCTTGCAAGCAGCCAACATGGCCGACCCGAGTTCAATTCATCTGCCCCTCTCAGAGACCCCAGCAAGCTACTGAGAGTATCTCGCCTGCATGGCAAAGCCTGGCAAGCTACCCTTGCCATATTCGATATGCCAGATACAGTAACAATTGTCACAATGGAGACGTTACTGGGCCTGCTCGAGCAAATAGATGAACAATGGGAGGACAGTGGACAGTGACAGTCATTTGCTATTATAAATAACTTGGTAATGGGTAAGCTTATATTTACGTTATCTTATACTTTTACAAGTACATCTGAAACATTTCAAGAAGATTCCCTGGGTTACATAGCATATGCACTTGTAATTTTATTTATCTATTGGGTGGGCCACACCTGCTGTACTCAGGGCTTACTTCTGGCTCTTTGCTCAGGGCTGGCAGGGCTCAGAGGACCATATGTAGTGTCAGGGATCAAACTAGAGTCTACCATGTGCAAGGCAAGCACCTTAATAATGCTGTACTATCTCTCTGACTCCTAAAATATTTTTAAATATTTCTTGGGTCAGAGAGATAGCTTATAGAATGTAAGTGCATACTACCCTTTGTTCTATCTCATCCCTTGCACATCTTTTAGTTCTGTTGTTCATCAGGAGTCATGGACTTTTGTGCGGTTTTCTTCCACACTCACACCTGGCTGTGGTGTGACTGTAAAGAACCTGTGGAGCCAGGAATTACAGGCAGGGCTGCCAGAGTCATGCTTGGCAAATGTGGGAGCTCAAGGACTTGAACTCATAGCAGTATGCTTGTAGGACAGACACTTAGCCCTGGTGCCAGTTTTCCAGTTTTTGAAGTTTATTTTATTTACATAACTGTGGCTGTCCTTGTCTTTCATAGGCTACTGATTGCTTGTGTGATTGCTCTCTGACCTTTCACTTAGTATCTCATTTTCCACTGGTCCTCAAACAAGTCTCCTATAGACAGCAGGTTAGATTTTGTTTCCTGATCAATCTCCTCACTCTCAGGCCATTGACATTTAGGCAAATAGTTGGGTTTGGGTTTTGGGGCCACACCAGCAATGCTCAGGGTTCACTCCTGGCAGGGCGTGGGTGACCCTGGGGATGCCAGGAATCGAACCCTGGTTGACCTCATAAAAGGCATATGTCCTACCTGCTGTACACTCTTGTCCCACAAATAGTTATTTTAAAAAATAATTATTACTTGGGTTCAATTGCCAGCACCCCATATGACCCTTCGATTGTGACAGGAGTGATCCCCGAGTTCCAAGCCAGCATTAAGCCCTGAGCACTACCAACTGCTAAAAAAATAGGAAAAAGGGGGCAGCATAGTGATAGGGCATTTGCCTTGTATACACCCCACCCAGATTCGATCCCTGGCATCCCATATGGCAGCCTAAGAACTTCTAGGAGTTATTCCTGACTGCAGAGCTAGGCATAATCCCTGAGCATCACCGGGTATAGCCCAAAACCAAAATAAAACAAAAGTTGTGGGGCAGGAGAGATAGTACAGTGGGGAGGGCACTTACCTTGCATGTGACCAACCCGGGTTTGATACCCAGCATCCCATATGGCCCTTCAAGCACTGCCAGGGTAGTTCCTGAGTGCAGAGCCAGGAAGAACCTCTAACCATTGCTGGGTATGGCCCAAAAACACAAAACAAAAATTGTTGCTGTTTTTCTATGTGGATTCTGGATGTTACAGCAGCTTCTCTCTGTTCCTGTGTGTTGATGTTCTCGCCCCTTGTTCACTGATATCACAAAATGTGCGTATTTAATTCAGTTTTGGTGTTTCTCATATTGCGAAAATGAAAGTATTGTATAATATACCTTTGTGTTATTATACTCCTTCACTGTCCACATTTTACTGGTATTTTAATTTTTTGTTTGTTTGGTTTGAGTGCCAGGACCAAATCCAGGACAAAAATCTGCTCTAGCACTGAGCCATGTCCTTAACTTTTACTGGTGCTGTTATAGAGATAGCTTTAAATTATTGATTAATAATTGGGAAATTTACTATCTTGAGTATTTCAAGAGTGTGGTATGCCTTTCTATTTGTTTCAGTTATCTTTTTATTTATTTTTTGGTTTGGGGGTCACACCCGGCGATACTGAAGGGTTACTCCTGGCTTTGCACTTAGGAATTACTCCTGGTAGTGCATGGGGAACTGTATGGGATGCTGGGGATTGAACCTGGGTTGGCTGTGCTCAGGGCAAGCAGCCTGCCTGCTATAAATCTCTTCATCCCGTTTCAGTTGTCTTTTGTGATACTTCAAAGGGTTCTTCAAAGTATTTCTCATTCATATATTCACATTAATTATTCAGTTTATATCCCAGTATTTCTTTTATTCTGTCGTTTATAGAATCTTTTTTTTTTCTGAAATTTTACAGGATTTTCTGTGTATAAATGTAAAGTTTCTTTATTTCATAGTGTTCTATATACCGGAACCACCGTAATGAATTAGATCATAATTTTTTTTTTTTTTTTGCTTTTTGGGTCACACCGGTGATGCTCAGGGGTTACTCCTGGCTCATGCACTCAGGAATCACTCCTGGCGGTGCTCAGGGGACCATATGGGATGCTGGGAATTGAACCTATGTCAGCCATGTTGGCTGCGTGTAAGGCAAACGCCCTACCCGCTGTGCTATCGCTCCAGCCCCAGATCATAATATTTTTAAGCTATTTCTGTGGGGTTTTCCATATACATAATTCTGTCATCTATAACTGATACGTTTACTTCCCTTTCAGTTTGTATGCCCTGACCTAGGAGCTGAAGTGCCACAGTGATGCTTGTCGGGCGATTCTTGGCGAGCACAGTGGCTTCATCGTACAACCGTTAGCACAGGCAGGGAACCCTGGTAATGAGAACCATTGAACCCTAGAAAGAGTCTGGGTTTTGTTTTATCGCCTTTCTTTCTTTTCCTCAGATGTGAAATCCGGCAGCTATACAGTGCTACAAGTGGTGGAAGCTGTTGGGTAAGAGCTTACATGCCTGGATTCCCTTCTGTTCCTGCTGGTAAACTCAGAAAATGGTCTTTTATCTACTGCTGCTTTTCTATAGCTAATGAGCCCCCCAGACCTCTGAAGGTAGCCCTGCCCCATCCCCCTCCATATCCATACCTCCTGAAAATGTTTCATGCCACCTGACTGCATCTTTTAAGGAGGTATTGGCAGCACACACACAGGCTTTGGGCCACTTCATCTCCTGGATCCACCCACAAGTTTGGGATGAAGTGGGTGTTTCAAGGCCATCAACTTACTTAATTAGAGCTAGGTGTACTTCTTTACACCCACCACACCAGTCAACCTGCATGTGACTCAGGTCTCCCTGATCTCTGCCTGGGGAGCTAGCCGGAGGCAGAACATGCTCAGACTTCCACTTTAGGAAAAGGCTTAAGGAAACAGCTGGACGATTTGGTGTTGCAACCAAATATTCTCAGCACCAGTTGAGGAATTGCATGTCATCTGATGCCTACTTTCTTCATAGTTCATACTTGGTAGACCATTTAAATTGACAAGTATTATTAATAAACTTGTTAACTGTCCTGACCAACATATCATTTAAAAATCTTAATGTTGAAGAGTGGGGACTGTAAACGAGATCACTATCATTCGCTTCTCCCACATCCAAGACTGTTTTGGCCTTTATGTTAACATTGTTGTGTCTGTGGTTTATTTGGGTGATTGGTGGGAACGTATTATACCAGGCAGTGCTGGAGGGACTATACCATGTGGTCCAAGTGATTGTACTGTGGATTCCTACATGCAAAGACATGCTCCAGCCCTTTGAGCCATTGCCGTGAACCCACCTTGGTCCATTTTTGAAGTTACAACTTTATTGGTCCTTAGACTTAGAAAGACTGGTGTGGAAGAGGTTTGCATCACACCTAGCAGTGCTCAGAGCTTACTTCTGGCTCTGTGCTCAGGGATTACTTCTGGAAGTGTATGGTAACCATTGCAATGTTTAGATCAAACCAGGGTTAGCTGCATGCATGGCAAATGCCTTAACCCCTGTGCTATCACTCTAACCCCTAAAATTCTCATTTCAAAATGTGATTCTGGGGACAGAGCTATCGTTTGCCTTGCATGTGGCCGGCCCAGGTTCCCCGACATCCCATATAGTCCCCTGAGCACCGCCAACAGTAATTCCTGAGTGCAGAGCCAGGAGCAATCCCTGAGCAACGGTGTGACCCAAAAAAAATCAAAAAAAGTGTGATTCTGTGGCATCTTACATATTTACAGATTTGTACAACCTTTGCCGGGCTAGAGCGATAGCGCAGCGGATAGGGTATTTGCCTTACACGCAGCCAACATGGCTGACCCGAGTTCAATTCCTGCCCCTCCCGGAGAGCCCGGCAAGCTACCGAGAGTATCTTGCCTTGCAAAGCCTGGCAAGCTACCCGTGACGTATTCAATATGCCAGACACTGTAACAAGTCTCACGATGTTACTGGGCCCGCTCAAGCAAATCGATGAATCACGGGAGGACCGTGACAACCTTTGCCACAATCAGTTTTAGAATATTTTCATTATCCCAGGAAGAAACCCCTATTCACATTAGCAGTCATACCCCATTTCCCTTCTTCCTGGCCTCCTGGCAACTAATCCTTCTATTTCTCTATTCTGGGAGTTTCATATCAATGGAGCCATACCACACAAATAGCTTTTTCACTTAATATATTTTTTTCCAGGCTTATCCCAGTTGTAGTGTGTCTCAATACTTTATTTTTTGCTGAGTGACTCTCCATTATATGGACATATTTCATGTTTTGTTGAACTATTAGTTGATAAGCATCTTAGCATCTCCGTGTTTTGGCCATTCTGAATAATGCTGCTATGTGCATTTATGTGACTTGGTCTATTTTAAATGCCCAATTTTCTACTTGTGAGCAGGAATCTTTGTATAAATTCCTATCCTGGGGAGCCTGTCAAAGAGTGATCTTAGGGGCTGGAGCGATAGCACAGCGGGTTAGGAGCTTGCCTTGCACGTAGCCAATCCGGGTTTGATCCCAGTCATCCCACATGGTCCTCTGAGCCAGCCAGAAGTGATCTCTGAGTGCAGAGCCAGGAGTAAACCCTGAGTACCACCAGGTGTGGCCACAGGACAACAACAGTAAACGCCAGATCAATATGGGGGTTGGGTCCTTAGACTCTAATTCCTGATACTTAGAGTCCTGAATACCTTGAGACACTTTTCTGGATAGCTTTTACTCCTTAGTCTTTTTTTTTTTAATTTATTTATTTTTGCCTTTTTTGGGCAGGGGGGGTTTCACACCCAGCGATGCACAGGGGTTACTCCTGGCTCTGCACTCAGGAATTAACGCTGGTGGTGCTCAGGAACCACATGGGATGCTGGGAATCGAACTAGGGTTGGCCGCATGCAAGGCAAATGCCCTACCCACTGTGCTATTGCTCCAGCCCCTCCTTAGTCTTAAATGCCAGGGGTGGAGGGGTGAGTCACAGTCACGGTCCTCCCGTTGTTCATCGATTTGCTTGAGCGGGCCCAGTAACGTCTCCATCATGAGACTTGTTGTTACTGTGTTTGGCATACCGAATACGTCACGGGTAGCTTGCCAGGCTCTGCCGTGCGGGCGAGACACTCTCATTAGCTTGTCAGGCTCTCCAAGAGGGGCGGAGGAATCGAACTCAGGTCGGCCATGTTGGCCGCTTGTAAGACAAATGCCCTACCGCTGTGCTATCGCTCCAGCCCTGGAGGGGTGAGTAATGAATTATAAAAAATGAATTCTTTGGCTCTATCTTTTTTTACCCTCAGATCTTCTCTGGAGAATCCAGAACCCCGAACTCGTGCACGAGGAATCCAGCTTTTGTCACAGGTGCTACTCCAGTGTCACTCCTTGCTCCTGGAGAAAGAAGGTACTGGCAGCACTAGAATAAGGAGTGTCATCCTGGATTGCTGAGCCAAGGCCTTTGTTGTCTCTTCAAGTCACCTTTACCAGGAGGGGAGGATGGCGTGAGGGGGGTGGGAAAGTTGGAATGTTGCAGCATGAGGCCAACCTCCAAGTACAATCCCCAGCATCCCATATGGTCCCCCAAGCACCACCAGAAGTAATTTCTGAGTGCAGAGCCAGGTGTAACCCCTGAGCATTGCCAGGTGTGACCCCCCCCCCCCAAAAAAAATATTTGGCAGTGGCCATCTAGTTATTGTTCATGCTGCCTTTATGTTAGAGTGGCGATGCTTGGCACAGTTGAGTAATTGGACAGAGTGTCCTGCAAGTCTGAAATACTTAGGTTCTTATCCTTTAAGCAAAGTTTGCCAACCTCTTTCTATGGAAAGATACTTTTGGAGCTGAGAATGGCTTTGACTATGGACCTGGAAGAATAAATAAGCAATCCATTAAGTGAAGCCCCCCTCAAATGGGAGGGCATGCCACCTCTCTGTGAGTGAAGGGGAAACTTGCATTGGAGCCCGAATAGGAACGGCCCTTACAGACGTGGGAAGGAGCAGCCCCTGTGCACCTCCTTATGTAAACTGATGACTGACTGCTTTTCCCATTTGTGCAGTGGTGCACCTGATCCTATTCTATGAGAACCGCCTGAAGGACCATCATCTTGTGATCCCATCTGTCCTGCAGGGTTTGAAGGCACTTGTGAGTTCTTTCCCCCCCACTCCCCATTATAAACCATTGGGAGGCTTTGTCCAGTGAAATTCTCTCTTTGCCCTTTGGCGTGGCTTTGAATGCTGAGGAGAAAAAGATACCCTAATATGGGAATACTAAACTTGTATTGGCCAGCCCAGCTTCTTTGTTCACTTTGGAGTGTAAAAGTATCCTTTGGTGTTTGGAATTCAGAGCGTAACTGGAAGGAGCTGTAGAGAATGATCAGCTTGAGTAAAGGGGCATTTCTTACTGCTAGCTAGCACTTGTTCCTGAACCAGAATGTTGATTTCCTCTTGTAACCAATTAAGCCATTTGAGGGTTGTATCTTAGAGGCAGTGACATTCCCTTATTGTTCACTGATCTTCTCTTCTCTCTCAGAGCATGTGTGTGACCCTGCCTCCAGGCCTGGCTGTCTCTGTGCTTAAAGCGATCTTCCAGGAGGTCCATGTACAGGTGAATACTAACAATCATTTCCCTGTGCTCTCTCTCTGAAAGCTTGACATGTGGAATTAGGTGTCAGAGAAGCAGTGGCTTCTCAGCTCTGAGCTCTACCAGGGCTTCAACCATGGTTAAGTGCTGTTCCTTGCTACCCTGTGAGGAGGCAGCTTGCCCTACTCTCTGACCTTGTGTGTAAGGTCAGACACCTAAAGAGAGTCACCCTTACAACAGAGTAGCCATCGTTTCCTCTCTGCATTTCCTCTTAGGTTGATATTTTCCTGTTATAAACAACACTGTTAGCTTAGAGATTATGAAGCAAGAAGTAACTGTATCCTCGCAGTTACTCTTTAAATACTTAATCTGTTTCTGTTTCTCCCATCCCCTCAAGTCATTGATCCAGGTGGACAGACACACAGTCTACAGCATCATCACCAACTTCATGAGAACTCGGGAAGAAGGTACAAGGCAAGGCTCTCTGTGAGCTCTGAAAAGCAAGCACATTTGGTCTCCCCCCGTTTTTAAGACTTGTTTTAACCTGGAGGTTAGAGCAAAAGAAGAAAATTGTGAGGGAGAAGGATAAAGGCACGAGCTCCCCAAGTGAAGTGTGAAGAAAGGGCAGAGAGGAACTGATGGTATTTTAATCCTGCCTCATAACAGTTACACACCAGCGCACAGCTTTTCTTCATTGAGCGCTTTTTCGGAGTAGAAAAACAGAAATAGTCAGCTCTGGGAGGCAGGAAAGGGAACTGGTGACCGGGGACACCCAAGCTGTCTGCTATTGGAGACCGTTGTGACCCATTCTCTCCTCCCCAGAGCTGAAGGGCCTAGGAGCTGACTTCACCTTTGGCTTCATCCAGGTGATGGATGGGGAAAAGGATCCCCGTAATCTTCTGGTGGCCTTTCGTATTGTCCATGACCTCATTTCCAGGGACTATAGCCTGGGTAAGCACTTTTATCCATCAGTTGACTGGGATGTATCAGATGAGTGAAGCTGAGAAGTCAATCGTTCTTTCTCTGTTGCGACAGGACCCTTTGTGGAGGAGTTATTTGAAGTGACATCCTGTTACTTCCCTATTGATTTTACTCCTGTAAGTAGCACCTTTCATTCATTTATTTGATCAAATATTCTTTGAGTGCTATGTGACAGATTCATTTCTAGGCAGTCAGGGTACAACAGTGAACGAGAGAATCCCAGCCCTCCATGAATTGACATTTCAGTTTGGAAAGTGGAGAAGCGTTTGCCTTCACTGGATGGATTGGATTCAGTAATTGTTTGTTGGAGGGAGTGGGGAATGGTGGATTTTAAGATCCTTGACAGTGTACTTATTGCTGAGGACTACAGGAAATAAAACATGGGCCCTGCCCTTGGAGGTAAGAGAAGGTTATGGACAGAATGAGTGGTGTTCTAATTGTTCAAAGAAGGTAAGAGTTTATTATCAGCTAGAATAAGTAGGAACCGACTTCATCGATAACATCTTATTTTCATTGGTTTCTGAGGGAGGAGTAAGATATGATTCTGGAGTCTCGGGGTGTGCCTGGCAATAGAAACAAAGTGACCAAGAAGGTACAATTGAGCACTGTCTGTCCAGGAGGCGTTGCACTGACTGTCCACTCGGACAGTACCACTTTATATTCTGATATCCCTATTTCCAGACATTCAGAGTGTTTATCATTCCCACACGTATGGGAATGCATGGGTATGTGTGCAACAGTGTCAGTAATCTAGAAGAGATCTAGAGAAATAGTACCAGGAGTAAGACAATGCATTTGGCAGACAAAGGTTTATTTCCCAGCATCATATATGGTTCCTCAAGCACTGCCAGCAATGATCCCTCAGCTCAGAGCTAGGAAAATGCCTAAGCATACCCAGGAGTGGCCCAAAAAACAAAAAATAAGAGAGAAAGACTCAAAGTGGGGCTGGACCAGACTGATAGTACAGTGGTTAGGATGCATGCCTTGCACATAGCCAAACCAGGTTCAATCCCCCACACCCTATATGATTTCCCAACCCCTCCAGGAATGATCCCTGAGCAGAGGCAGAAGTAAGACCTAAGTACCACAGGGTATGGCCTGAAAACCAGAAAAAGAGAAATCCAGTGCAGGGGAGATTGTATAGAGGTTAAGGTGTTTATCTTATCTTATACATGGTCGGTTATAGTTCAATCCCTGACACCACGTATGGTTCCCCAAGCATTACCTGGAATGATCCCTGAGCACCTCTGAGTGTGACTCCAACTATCCACTGCCTCCCCCCAAGATAACCCCCCCCACCCCTACCCCACCCCCCAAAAAATTCAGTGCTTTTATTTAAAACAAGTTCTTCAATTTATTTAGGTCTCTATTTCCAGGTTTAGAGGCTTTCCTCAGACATCTAGTACTTCATGTCGGTCTCCATCTGTTTGTGAGTGAGGATTACTCAGTGAGCTCTGAGCATAGGAAAAGGACTTTTTGAGTATGAACTTTATTACAGAATGACTTATATGGACTTCGGGGAACCCCTAAAGTATTCTTTCTTTTGAACTAGTCAGATGCTTCTGGAAAAAAGATCTTAGCTCTGTCTCAAGACAATGATGACAAGCTACAAGCAGCTGGAACTGGAAAGGACTGGAAGATCATAGCACTCAGTCCCCAAACCCACCCCAACCCACAGCTGCCCCTAATGTCCCAAACTAGAGGGTTCTGGCCCTCTTCAGAGAATTAAACCTCCAGGGGCCAAGTTAATGCTGCAAAGGTGCTCCAAGTCCAGGTTCAACCCCTGGCATCACCCCACTCCCCAACAAGGCATTTCATTAGCCTTCCCGATTATTTTCTTCTTCAACTCCACTCCCAATTTCAGAGGTACCTGATACTTCATTTGAAAGCTTTATTGGCTTTCCCCAAGCCAGCTCAAGTTTTTGTTGTCTTGGCTCTGCCAAGTCATTTTCTTCTTACCCACCTGCTTTTAGCTTCTGAGGTTTTGTTGCTAACATCTCTAGTCCTGTTCTCTTCAGTCTTCAGCTTTTTGTCTTCTTTTTTTTTAATCATCTTATAATTTTGGGATTTCTAAAAAGGAAAAGAAGAATCTGTTGTATGTTTTCAATCTGCTATCTTGACACAAGCCATCATGTAGACTGCTGAGGGCTGTGGGGAAAGCTCAGTAGTATAGTACAAAAATAGAAATATCTATTAGACCATTTTGGGGGGTCATTACCCATCAGTGATCAGAGGTTACTCCTCATTCTGCACACAGAAATTACTTATTGGTAGTGCTTAGGGACCATATGGGATGCTGGGGATTGAACCCAGATCAGCCAGATGTAAGGCAAGCGTCATACCCATTATACTATTTCTCCAGCCTCTATTAAAGATTATTTAAATATATTGTGGCTCAGTGACACAGTGAGATCAGTCGCTAAAACTTACAAAAGAATAATAGCATGGAAAAAGTTTCTTATTTAAATATATGTCTGTATAGCATGTGTATAAAATGATCACAATTTTTCTATGTGCGTATATTTTAACAGTGGTAGGGTGTTTGCCTTGCACCCAGGTTCGATTCCTCCACCCCTCTCGGAGAGCCCGGCAAGCTACCGAGAGTATCTTGCTCGCATGGCAAGCCTGGCAAGCTACCCGTAACATTCGATATGCCAAACACAGTCACAACAAGTCTCACAATGGAGATATTACTGGGCCTGCTTGAGCAAATCAATGAGCAACGGGAGGACAGTGCTACAGTGCTATTCTGTTTTATTTAACTTTTTTTAATTGAGTGAGGTTCTGTGATGATGGTTTCTTGTGTATGTAGTTCCAACTAAATACATATTTTGAAGGGAAAATGTCAAGCAGAGAGGTAGTACAGGGTATAATGAACCTGTCTTGATCATGGCCAACCCCAGTTTGATTCCCAGCACCGAATATGGTCCCCTGAGCACTGCTTGGAATAGCCCTTGAGTACCGCCACATGTGGGGTCCCCTCCAGATTTTTTTTTTTAATAAAAGGCAAGTGTTTACCAACACATAGACATTATACTTATGTAGAAATTATATTCTGCACCAAAACTTAAAGGGTGTTTATTTCTGAATAGTGATACTATGAATCAGATAGAAACTTGTGATTAGAGAGAAAATGTCCAAAAGAAAAAATTCTAACTTCTTTTTTTTTTTTTTTGTTTTGTTTTTGTTTTTGGTTTTTGGGCCACAACTGGCTTTGCATTCAGAAATTACTCCTGGCAGTGCTCGGGGGGACCATATAGAATGCCTGAGACTGAACCTGGGTCAGCTGTGTGCAAGGGAAATGCCCTACCTGCTGTACCCTGGCCCCCAAAAGATAAAAGTTCTAAGGCTGGGGCTGAATCAATAGTACAGAGGGTAAGGGCGTTTGCCCTGCACGTGGCCGACCTGGGTTCAATTCCAGCATCCCATATGGTCCCCCGAGCACCGCCTGGACTAATTCCTGAGTGCAAAGCCAGGAGTAACCCCTGAGCATCACCAGGTGTGACCCAAAAAAACAGAAAATAAAATATATAAATTAAAAAAGTTCTAAGGAACATATAAGAGCAGGCTTCTCTTCCTGCTAGGGAATTATTCTGCCAACTTGGGTGTAAATGCCACCCTACCCTATTATGCAGTTTTCAGACTGTCTGAGGGTGGTTCAAGGCGTTCTTCAAACCTTTGTCCTTTTCCCTTTTCCAGCCACCTAATGATCCCCATGGAATCCAGAGAGAAGATCTCATCCTGAGTCTTCGAGCTGTGCTGGCTTCTACACCACGATTTGCTGAGGTGGGTGTCATCAAAGTTAAGGATATACAAGGTTCTGAAGAAAGAGTAGTAAAAATTTAGTTTGGTTTTTTGTTCATCTTTTTGTGAGTTTTTTTGGGGGGAAGGCATGAGGGGCTCAGATATTTAAGTCTCTATATATATTTAATATCTAATATATTCTGCAGATGTGGTCAAACTTGTATGGCAAATATCCCAGACTTTCAAAGTAGGACATTTTGGCATCTCTTGCTTTAAAATTGTCATCCAGGGAGGGGCCAGAGAGTACAGGGGTTAATGCACTTGCATTTCATCTCACCCAATCTAGTTTGAATCCCTGGCACCAGAGATAACTTCTGAGCACAGAGCAAGGAATAGACCCAGTGTGGTCCCAAAACCAAATATATATATATCTCATATGTATATACATATATATATGTTCTATATGTATATATATGTATTGAATATATATATATATATTGCAGTCCAGAGGCCAGGGGATAGTAAAATGGTCAAGCAGAGCAACTGGCTTGTAGACATGAGGCCATGAGTTCAACCCAGCACCGCCCCACATTCCAAGTATAATCCCTGGCAGACCATAGCCAAAAAGTATGAGAGCATTGCAGACAGTGCTGCGTGAGCATCACCATGATGTGTAAAAGGACTGTAGACCCACTTGTGTCCCCCACACACACCCCCGTCATCAGTTCAGGGCTCTAAGAGTGCAAGGGGTAAACCCCTGCCTTAGTGCTGTTTTATCCCCTGCCACCCACATATTCCCTGAGCCCTGAGCATCAGTGGGTGTTATATCTCTGCCTCCTTCCCCCCCCCAAAAAAAAAAAACAAAAAGCAGAAAAAGAAGGGAGAGAAGATGAATTAATTGTAAAAACAGTAAACAGGAGAGAGAGAGAGTACAATGTGTCGGGTACTTGCCTAGCACATGGCTGACCGCGTTTGATCCCCAGCACCTCATATGGTTCCCTGAGCAACCCCAATTTGGCTTAAAAACAAAATAGAACAGTAAACCAATCCCTATTGGGTGCTATTTTTAGAAATTGTATTGTTTTTCCAGCTTGCTCTATTTCTGAAGAGAGGGACAGGCAATATTTAGGGGGTCTGTGGACACTTCTAGTAATACTTGTTTCATCCTAGGCCAGCAGTTCAGTGCTAGCGCCCACAGGTGTGGCCTACAGTGCTCGGGTCTGCCATAGTCGCAGCCTGTGAAGCTCAAGTAGGTCATGTATTGCCAGGAATTAGATGGGGATCCGTGAACTCTTGACCCCTGTGCTCCCCCCTGCTAGCTCGTGTATCCCATAACATACTCCTCGAACATAATGTATAGTCACAGCTGACTTGGCAATCCCTGATGTAGCACCTACCCCGAGGACTGGTGGCAGTTGGTTGCAGGGAGCCCTGATGTGATGCACTACAGCCCTTCTCAGGATGTCTTCTTCCTCCTCACCCCGTAGTTCCTGCTGCCCCTGCTCATTGAGAAAGTGGATTCTGAAATTCTGAGTGCCAAACTGGATTCTCTTCAGACTCTAGTGAGTGATTTTTCACCTTTCTTTCAGCTGCCTTCAGAAATTTAGAGGTACTAAAGATTCTTAGATAACCTGGGAACAAACAGTTCTGAGTGGGGCTCACATGAGGGAACTTAGGGTCTTGGCCTGTAGGTTGATCTAAAGCTTCCTTCTTCCTCCCCCCAGCTGCATGTTTTCCTATCCTCTAGTAAAGGCAAGGGGGAAAGGCTGACCAGGTTCTCTCCAGGCTTGCTTTTCATCAGTGAGGGTTAGCTATTTTTCCGTGCCCTAGGTAAAGTTGTTATGAAGTCCTGCTAGCTTTTCTGCTGAGAGCCAGGCTCTGTCAGGTGCTATTATGCCAAGGTTTCTGCATAGCTGAGGAAGAGCTGGTAGAGAGCTGATACCTGTACTTTCCTTGGCAGACTGCTTGCTGTGCTGTGTACGGACAGAAGGAGCTGAAAGACTTCCTCCCCAGCCTTTGGGCTTCCATCCGTAGAGAGGTGAGTAGCACTGAGGTCAACTCATGACTGCTAACGCCCAATTGTCAGGTCTCAGGAGAAATAAGAGGCCCTGTCTTCCTGCTTCAGCTGAGCCTAGTTATTTAGCAGGCCAGCAAGAGGGCTTGGTTGTCATAGAATAACAGAGGAGAGTGTCCCTAAGTGTGGCCAGTTGCTCACTGATGGCAGTGGGTCACTTCATCACAATACCCATTTCCTGTCCTTCCCTGTAAAGCACCTCGGTCGTGGTGCTTCTGACACCATTCTGGGTAAGGGGTGGAGAGACCCAGAAGTATTCCAGGAGCGGCTTTTGAAAGACAATGACCCACTTCCCAGAGCATCTGTGTGCCAGTGGGACCAGTGATTTGGTGAAAACACAGGCCAAGAGAAACTCGTTTCAGAGCCTCATTTCTGTTGCCGTGTCCTGAAAGCGCCGTTCCCTGCTCTCCTGCTGGTGGTGGCAATTAGGTGAGGTCTAGCCCAGTGCAGGCTCACCTCAGCAGCCTTGGGATCCTTCCTGACAGGTGTTCCAGACGGCAAGTGAGCGGGTGGAGGCAGAGGGCCTGGCTGCCCTCCACGCCCTGACCTCGTGCTTGTCTCGCTCCGTGCTGAGGGTTGATGCCGAGGACCTCCTTGACTCCTTCCTTAGCAACATTCAACAGGGTAATGGGGCTGGGACAGTGGGAGAGGGGCGGGCCAGAGATTTCCGATGCATGTACTACACAGTTGGTGACTTAGGGGCTGGAGCCACCTTTGCACTAAAATCAGTCAGGTGGCAGCCACCAGCCAGCTGTGTCAGGCGAGGGAGAGTGGTGGGATGAGATAGCATTCGGCCTACTCCAGTCAGTGACACATGTCTCTATAGACTGCAGGCACCACCTGTGTGAACCCGACATGAAACTGGTGTGGCCTAGCGCCAAGCTGTTGCAGGCAGCCGCCGGAGCGTCTGCCCGGGCCTGCGACCGAATCACCAGCCACGTACTGCCACTGCTGCTAGAACAGTTCCACAAGCACAGCCAGGTAAGGAAGCAGGAGTAGGTGAGGGATCGGGGGCCGGGTACTCACTCCCTTTCCCCGAGGAAGGGCTCAGTGTTGAGCATGCGCCTCTATGGAGAAAGCTTGGGTATTGATCCCAGTAGTGGCTGCTAGTTCCCAGTTACTCTTCCTGAAGTCTAAGGATAGCTCTCCCCACTTTCAGAATAATAGAATTTGTTAGAATATTCTTTTACTCCTGTATCCCTTAAGTCACATGTTTGAGAAGATCAGTCAAATTTTAAAGTCCATCTTAAAAAAATAAGATTAAATAAAGCATTACCAAATCCAAATCCAAAATGGGGGAGGCAGGGTGGAGAGACGGTCCATTGGGTAGGGCACCATGCAGCTAATGCGGGTTCAATCCGTGGCACCCTAGTAGTCCCTCATACTCCACTGGGAGTGACCCCTGAGTGCAGAGCCAGGAGTAAACCCTGAGCATGGCTGGGTGTGGCCCCCCAAACCAAAAACAAATGTTACAGAGCAACCAGCGGCGGACAGTCCTTGAAATGATCCTGGGCTTCCTGAAGCTGCAGTCAAAGTGGAACATTGAAGACAAGGGTAAGTCCACCTCACAGTTGTACTGTTGGGGGCTGCTGAGCACAGAGCCCTGTGAAAAATGCCAGCAGAGAAGGCCACAGAGCAGTCAGCCTGGACAGTGGGCCTGGAGCGCAAGGGAACATTTCATGCATGAGAACTGTTCCTTTTTCGTCCTGGTGTACTTTTTGGACATTCAGTGCATCAGGCCCTTTAAGACTGTCCCATTTCTCTTCACACCCTGCTGAGGCATGACTGTGGAGGGGAGGGCGTCACTCCCACCTAAACTCAATCTCTTTCTAGAACAAAGCCCTCTGAGAAGCCTCAAGGACCAGCTGTGCTCACTGGTGTTCCTGGCCTTGACAGACCCCAGCTCACAGCTGCAGCTTGTTGGTATCCGCACACTCACAGTCTTGGGTACCCATCCAGGTACGAGTAAAAGGAAATAAAATAGGGACCCAGGGTGTGACTCCACTGGTAGAGCGTTGCTTACAGGTGGAAGGCCATGGGTTTGGTCCCTGGCTTGGCATGCCCTCAGCCTTCACCCCAGCACCATCAGGTGTGATCCTCAAGCGTTTGAAAAAAAGGTGTTGTTTCCAAGGGTGGGAGCTATAGTACAGAGGTGTAGGGCATGCATGTAGCTGACCCAGATTCTGGTGGCCCCCTGACTGCAGAGTCAGGAATAACCCCTGAGTATTACTGGGTGTGACCCAAAAAACAAAACCAAAAAAGATAACTTGTACTTTTGAGGCTGTAGAGTTAGTGACATAGTGTACTTGCCTTTCACACAGCTGACCTGGAGGTAAATCTCCAGGTCCCATAAGATCCCCCAAGCCCACCAGGTGTGATTCCTGAGTGCAGAGCCAGAGTAACCTTTTGAGTTTTTCCCAGTGTGGCCCCAAAACAAACAAAAAGAATTTTGGTCCCAGGGACAGGAGCAATAGTATAGGAGCAGAGTACTTTCTTAGCTTGGGTTTGATTTCAGGCATCCCATATGGTCCCCCAAGCCTTCAGGAGTGATCCCTAAAAAACACAGAGCCAGGAGTAAGCCATGAGCACAGTGGGTATGACCCCCACATAAAAAAATGTTCCCGGGGCCAGAGCAGTAACACAGTGGGTAGGCCATGGCCTTGCACGTGGCCAACCCAGATTCAATCCCTGGCATACCATATCATCCCCTGAGCAGTGCCAGGAGTAATTCCTGAGTGCAGAGCCAGGAGTAATCCCTGAGCATTGCTGGGTGTGACCTAAGAAGCCAAAAAATTTGTTCGTCCCTTTGTTTCTTTGTGATTTTCTGCTTTAAGAAAATCCATGGTTCTTATTACAGCTATAGCACAGTGGTAGGGCGTTTGCCTTGCAAGCGGCCAGCCTGGCCTACCCAGGTTCGATTCCTCCATCCTTATCGGAGAGCCCAGCAAGCTGCCGAGAGTATCTTGCCTCCACGGCAAAGCCTGGCAAGCTACCCGTGACATAGTCATATGCCAAACACAGTAACAACAAGTATCACAATGGAGACATTACTGGACCCGCCTGAGCAAATCGATGAACAACGGGAGGACAGTGCTACAGTGCTTTCCTTTGTTTTTATTTTTTTTGGGGGGGGGGGGCTTGAAGAGGCATACCCAGTAGTTATAAGTATTCAGTTGTTGTTCATGGTGTGCTTGTGGGCCTTGCTGCAGCCCTCCTACATGCAGTGCATGCACCCCAGCTCTTTCAGCTATCTCCCCAGCCCCCGATGAAAGATTTCTAAGAAAGCTCTTGTGGAGACTACAGGCGAATATCAGATTCTTGTTTTCTTCTTTGAAAATAGATCTCCTGTCTTCTGGGGATTTGGAGCAAGCATTGGGTCACCTATACCGACTAAGCTTCATGGAGGAGGATTCCCAGAATTGGTGAGAATCTGAAGCAGCAAGATGGGTGGACAAGCTCTTCCCTTGCCCCTGTTGGCAGTGGTAGAACTAGCCAGGACTGGGCCTCTGTGCTACATCTCATTCTTGCCTCTGTCTGCTGATTGGACATTTGGGGCTGCACTCTCTTTTCTTGGCCATTGAGATCTAAGTGGAGATAGACAGATGGCTTAAAGGGCTGAAGCCCTTGTCTTTCACCTGGGAGCACCTAGTTTGATCAGTGGTACTGCATGGTTCTCCGAACTCTGCTAGGAATGATCCAGAAGATGTGAGGAGGCCCAGCAATAGAGCACTTGCTTTGCATGTGGAAGTCCCTGGGTTTCATCCCCAGTGAAACAAAAGAGGTTGAAAAAAGGCTTGGTTGGATAGGTCCTAGAAGCCCTGAGTCAGCCTCAGGAGCCTGCACTCCCCAGTCTGCCTAATGGCGGACTGGGGAAGAGACGTGGGAGGACCACGGCTCAGCTGCTACTCATCTGCCATGTCCCCAGCAGGGTGGCAGCCCTGGAAGCATTGGGAACTTTAGCTGCGCTCTACCCTGAGGCATTCAATACCTACCTAGTGCCCAAGCTTGCTGAGGAGTTGTGTGCAGGTATGTGTCTGGTCTTCTGGGGCCACCGCTTCCCAGTGAGACTTGGGGCTACATGCCTGCCATCACACTGTGTCTCCCTGTCTCCTGGTTGCTTGCAGGGAAGTCAGATTTGGCTCTAGGGGTCGAGCCCACCAGATGCTCCCGGCATCTACGCAGTCTGCAGGCCTTGTCTGCTGTTTCAACACATCCCAGCATTGTCAAGGAGACCCTCCCTCTGCTGCTGCAGCATCTGTGCCAGCTGAACAATGGTAATGACTCCGGGAGCGGAATGGGAGGCACAGTTACACGGGGCTGCTGCCTTCAGCACAGAGGTTCTGTTGATACTTGGGCGTTTCTTAAATAAATCTTCAGCCCCACTGAACCGTGCCACAGAGGAATGGGCTTGGACATTAGGAACTATTCAGAATGCCAGGTGGTTCTAATGTGGAGTCAGAACTGAAAAGCCCTCTGAGGCTTTGCTGCTCACTGGCTTCATCAAGCCAGAAGCATAGGCTGCTGGGAGCTTACTAGAATCTCCAGCTGCACTAAGCAGAAGCTGCATTATTGTTCAGTTTTGTTGGTTTAGGGGCCACACCCGGAAATGCTCAGGGCGCTGGGGAGTGAACCTGGGTTGGCTGCATGCAAGGCAAGCCCCCTTTGTACTATTGCTCTGACCCCCAGAATCTGCATTTTTATAGGCTCTCCAGATGGCTAATACACCCCCTGCTCCAGGGCACAAGTGACAGCAACGATTGCTATCACAGGGGTGCCTTTTCCTACCAACCTGTACTGCCTCCTAAGTGCCCTGCTCATGTTGCCTTGCCCTTATGGGAGGGTGGGTCATTAGTGGTTGGAATGGCAGTTATTACTTAGAGAAGTAATCTAGAAAGAGGGCTAGAGCAGTAGTCCAGGGGGTAAAGTGCTTGCCTTGCACATGGCCCATCCAGGTTCAGTCCCTTGGCATCCCATATCATACCCTGAACACCACCAGGAGTAAGCCCTAAGCATTGCTGGATGTGGCCCAAAAGCCAAACAAAAGGTGGGAGGGCGGTAAGGTAGTTTTCCAGCAGCACTAGCTTTCCAGGGAGCACTGAGTAGCTTTTTTTCTGAAAGGAGGACAGTAGGCCAATTAAGTTTGGGAAACTGCTCTACACACTCATCCACTCATCTTTGATTGTCCTTCCCATCTGATGTGTAGATTCTGATAAGCACTGGAATTTCTACCAGTGCCTTTAAGAAAACTTTATAGCAGGGCCAGGAAGATGGCCCAGAGGGCTGGAGTGCATGCTTTGCACATACAGGCCTGGGTTCGGTCCCCAGTACTGCATGTTCCCCTAAGCACCACTTTCGTGTGCCCTCCCTTTCAAATAAAAACCAGACAACCTTACAGAAAGCACTTTCTCACCATCACGCAGGGACTATGGTGGCAGGACCGAGCAACATTATTGCTATCTGTCAGAGCCTCCAGCAGGTAGCGGAAAGATGTCAGCAGGACCCTGCGAGCTGCTGGTATTTCCATCAGACAGCCTTGCCTGCCCTGCTTGCGCTGGCTGTGAAGGCTTCCATGCCAGGTAACCTCCCCCCTCCTACTGCTTCCTGGTCCCTCCTCTGGGACTTCCCCTCCTTCATGTGTTGAACTGCAGCGCCACGCAGGGGGTGGAGCTGGTATTGCATTTCATACCTATAGAAGCGTACCCAGGAGATGGCACTTCCCAAGGGTGCCGACCTGACCAGGTAGTGGAACCCAGAGTCCACTAGAGTTAACAGTTCAGGCATGCATATCTTTTCCTTTCAGTTTCTGTGTAATTCGTTAACTTAAAATTAGACTCTGATGGGGCTGGAGTGATAGCACAGCAGGTTGGGCGTTTACCTTTCATGCGGCCAACCTGGGTTTGAGTCCCAGCATCCCATATGGTCCCCCGAGCACTGCCAGGAGTAATTTCTGAGTGTGTGAGCCAGGAGTGACCCCTGTGCATCGCCAGGTGTCACCCCCCCCCCCAAAAAAAATATTAGGCCCTGAAGTCAGGTTGGTTTAGGTTGACCTTAAATTCTTCCATTGACTAACTAAGGCAAAGATGGCTTGGACTCTCTAAGCCAGTTTACTCACTTGTGGGGGAGAGGGGGAAGAGGTTTGAGCACATAGTTGGCATAGAGGAGCTCTGGGTTTGATTCTTGATACCCCATGGTACCCCTGAGTACCACCAAGTATGGCAGGGCCCCTCACCCCAGTTTTTGTGAATATATAATCTTTATCACATGGTAGCACAAATTAAAATTACCTGTAGTGCTGGGCAACACGGCATTAAGGTAAATCTACGTTATTGTTTAAAACAATAAAGACTATTACCAATGTTAAGAACCTTCATATTAGGCCAGAGCCATAGAACAGTGGGTAGGGCACTTGCCTTCCACACAGCTGATGTGGGTTTGAACCCCAGCACCCCATCTGATTCTCTGAACCTCACCAGGAGCAATCCCTGAGTGCAGAGCCAGGAGTAATCCCAAGCACCACCAGGTTGGCCCCAAAACAAAACAAAAAAATTTTAAACTTCTACTGATGTGAGCAGAGTCCAGCCAGAGACCAGAATCATGACAATGACAGACCTGTCATTTGGCTCTTTGTGCCATTCTGACGGGCGTGACTGTGTGCACATGTGGTTTTGATTTTGCAGAGCAGTCTGTCCTAGGAAAAGTGTTGTTAGAGGATGAAGTTTTGGCTGCCATGGTGACTGTCATTGGAACTGCCACCACACACTTGAGCCCTGAGTGAGTACAACTGTGTGCGGCTTGATCCCAAGGAGAAGGGATATTGAGAGAAGCGGCAGGCCACTGCCTTCTGAACTCTATAGGCAGTTACTTGTTTTTTAGCTAGACTTAGTTGTGAAGGCAGTTACTTGTTTATACTTCTGACACTGTGGTCCATGGGGAGGGATGCCATGGGCTTGGCTCCTATTGCCGCAGGTGTAGAAGCATGAAATGGGAAGCATCATCTAAATCTGCATTGAGTTCTCCACTAGTAGCTCCAGGGGTGGGGTGTGACTCATTCACCGATGCATAACCAGGAACTACAGTGGGAGTGGTTCCTGGCACTTACAATGTGCTATGCTAATATTCCCTGACACTGAGCACTCATGCTCTGACCCATTGAATAGATAACTCTAGTGTGAACCCCCAAGAGGTGCTTTAGCGCCCTGGCTTCCTAGGTGGTACTTAAGTATCCCCCTCCACACCCCCCTTCAGATTGGCTGCCCAGAGTGTTGCCCAGATCGTGCCCCTCTTCTTGGATGGCAACTTGTCCTTTCTGCCTGAAAACAGCTTCCCTTGCAAATTCCAGCCTTTTCGGGTGAGTCTGATGGGTCAGACAGAGACAGGGGAGACTCTAGAAACTTCTTTCTCCAAAAGAAAAGAAAAATGTTGTTTCGGTTTTGGTACTACATCTGGTGCTGCTTAAGGTGTACTCCTGGGAGCCAGGGTAGGATGTTTTCCTTGCACGTGGCCAACCCGGGTTCTATCCCCGGCACCCCATATGGTTCCCCGAACAACGCCAGGAATAATTCCTGAGTTCAGAGCCAGGAATGACCCCTGAGTATCACTGGGTGTGACCCAAAATGCAACAATACCAGCAAAAAGGTACTCCTGGGATTACTCCCACCAAAGTTCAGGGGACCATATGGGGTGCTGGGGATTGAACCTAAGTTGGCATATGCAGGGTGAGCACACTGTCTGCTGTCCTATTGCTCCAGGCCCTCTTCGGAGCTCTTTTTGAGGGTGTTCTAGGAGCACACAGGCCTGTTGCTAGCAGGATGGACTTAATCATCTTCTTCCCTTATAGGATGGCTCTTCAGGTCAGAGACGGCTGGTCACACTGCTTATGGCTTTTGTCTGCTCCCTGCCTCGAAATGTAAGTGAGCACATTTGAGAAATGCCCTAGTTTAGCCCTGACAAGGGTGGTGGGTCCCTGGGCTGGGATGAAGTATACAAAGCTGATCTTTTACTTCTGGTGGAGTCACTTCTCCTGGTCCTGCTACCACTGTATCCTGGGTAGTTCTTGGCGTTCAAGTGTTCTCTGGGGCCATTACATAGCCAGGTCTTCTGTAGGTGGAAATCCCTCAGCTGAACCAACTCATGCGGGAGCTTTTAGAGCTGAGCTGCTGCCCCAGCTGCCCCTTCTCCTCCACTGCTGCTGCCAAGTGCTTTGCAGGACTCCTCAACAAGCACCCTGCAGGTACTGGGGTGAGGCTAAGGGTCGGGAGCCTCCCTGCGTTGACTGCCTGCGACATCCTGAGCCTTGGTCCTCACTCTCTTGGAAAACGGAGCTTGCTCAGAATGTAACAGGGCTTCCCAAGGGATAGCCCTGGGAATAAGAGCCAGGACTCTTGGGCAGAGCCTTCTGTCTAGTTTTGTCATCCTGCCTTCTAAGGGAGCATTTATGAACCATTCCTTATTAGCAGTAGACAGTTCTCCCAGGGTCAGCACCTCTGCCTTGGAATTCCAGGCTCTCGTACTGATGTTCAAGGACTGAGTGGACTGAGTAGGCAGAGTCCAACAGCAAAGTGACACTGTTCTTTTCTAACAGCTTCTCAGAAGTGCTGCGTTTAAATGATTCACATTCTTTCTTCACTGTGAAAGAAGGAAGGAGCCTTCCCGTCAGCATTTCCTCCCTCCCTTTTAGGAAAACAGTTGGACGAGTTCCTGCAGCTGGCTGTGGACAAGGTAGAGGCTGGCCTGAGTTCTGGGTCTTCAAGGACTCAGGCCTTCACATTACTGCTCTGGGTGAGTTGGAATGGAGTCTGGCTAGAGGGGGTGTGTGTACTAAAGTAACATTCCCTATCGCCTTTGAACACAGATACGCTACTTAGGATTCTGGGTTTTCACTGTCCCACTGTTCTTTCTCTGATGGCAGGTCACAAAGGCCCTGGTGCTCAGATACCACCCTCTCAGCTCCCGCCTTACAGACCGGGTACGTTCTTTCTAAAGACAAGAGGCCAGCCATCCTCCTCTGCTTTATATTCAGGCTGCTTCTCCCTGATGTACCTCCAAGGTTCTCTTTTTCTCCAGCTCATGGGTCTCCTGAGCGATCCCGAGCTGGGTCCAGCAGCTGCTGACGGCTTCTCTCTGCTCATGTCTGACTGCAGCGACGTGCTCACACGTGCTGGCCACGCGGAAGTGCGAATCATGTTCCGCCAGCGCTTCTTCACCGATAATGTGCCTGCTCTGGTCCAGGGCTTCCATACTGCTCCCCAAGGTGAGAACAGTCTCAGAAAGGCCCTACACACGCTCAGGCGCCCCCCCCCCCACCCCCCCATGTCCTAGAAATACGTAGAAGCCAGTACTTTGAGCTGTGGGTGGCCGCATCAGAAGGGTTAACCTTCCTTCTGGATTCTTGGCCTGCCTGTTTCCTCTTTTGTGCTTTTTCTGAGCCTAAGGACCTTTTTCGCAAGCCTCTGTAGGACTGTGTGCCCTATTCACAGAAGCTGAGTGTTGAGTTCTGCAACATGCCTGCACCCTTGTCTCCTGCATGCTTTTGTCTCTTACAGACGTGAAGCCGCATTACCTGAAGGGCCTGTCTCATGTGCTCAACAGGCTGCCCAAGCCTGTGCTCTTACTGGAGCTCCCCACGGTGAGCCTCGCAGTTGGCCACAGGGTTGAAAGGGCACCGGGCTTGTTACCTGTGTGGTCACCCCCACTTCCTTGTGGCCCCCTAGCTGCTCTCCTTGCTGCTGGAGGCCCTGTCCTGCTCTGACTGTGTGGTGCAACTCTCCACGCTCCGATGTCTTCATCCTCTTCTACCAGAAGCCCCACAGGTCATGAGTCTCCATGTTGACACCCTCGTCACCAAGTTTCTGAACCTCAGTTCTAGCCCTTCCATGGTATGTTGAGCCCCCGCAACTCTGCACCTCTGCCTCTCCTCTGCGGTCTCCCTCACCTCCTCCCCTCTATTGCAGGCTGTCCGGATCGCTGCCCTGCAGTGCATGCATGCTCTCACTCGCCTGCCCACTCCCGTGGTGAGTACCTCACAGGTCCTCCCTCACCCTTATGCTTCAGTCGATTAGGACTGGCGCCGCTGCTGTGGGTGAGGAGTAACTAAACGGAGGGAGTGGCCTGACTGGTTCGTAGGAAATGGCCAGCCTGCAGCTAGTGAGAAGAGAGGAGAGCATGAAGGAGCGGTTCTTATACAAGGTTCCTCTAACTCCACAGCTGCTGCCGTACAAGCCACAGGTGATCCGGGCCTTAGCCAAACCTCTAGATGACAAGAAGAGGCTGGTGCGGAAGGAAGCAGTGTCAGCCAGGGGAGAATGGTGCGTTTGGAGGTCCTGGGAGAGATGGGATGAAACGAATCTCACCACTGACTGATGAAACCACATTCTTTCTGCTTGAAGGTTTTTGCTGGGAAGCCCTGGCAGCTGAGCTGGAAATGCTAGTCCAGACTGTCCTGACAATCTCACCTGGAATGACTGACTTTGGAGCTGTCTCATCCCTGGCAAGGAGACTGACAGACACAACACTACCGCTGGCCTTTGTTGTGTGGAATTCTAATGGCCTGCGTAGTGACTGAGCGTGTGACTACTTGTGTTTGAAGAAAGCTCCATCCAGGGTTGCTTCCTGGTCTGTCAGCAAACAGAAGGCACGCCCCCTGAGAAGTGACTACAGATGAATGAGGCCCCAAGACCAGGGGTGGTGACCCGCCCAGACCTGCTGGGGAATAAAGGTTTCTTTTACTAACAGAGCTGCCAGATACTCCTCGTCCCACTTCTGCCCAGTAGCACACCCCGAGAAGCGTCACCACACAGGTTAACGAACAGCAGCAGCCAGCGTTGGCCAGGAGCCTCTCAGTGCCTCCACATAGGGCAAAGGCAGCAAGACCTGAATGTGTGTCCTTCACCGGACTCTGCCCAAGCCCACATGACAGGTGCAGAAGAGAGTGAAAAACTACAGATCTTTAAAAAGCCCGATACCTTTATTTTCACTCCATTCAGTGGCAGATGACAAGTGGCAGTGACCTCAGCAGGAGGCCTAATTAATGTCTTTGCCCTGTTGAGAAGCCAGGATGGTCTCGGCTCCACCATGCAATTTTCTTAGACACAGCAGGAGAGATGGTGGCCAACTCCAGACGTGTAGCCAGAGGGGCTCAAGGTCGATGCCCAGCACATAGCTGCTGCCTGATCTCCAGGCGGGCCGGAACTTCCGTTTGCCTGAGTAAAGAGTTGTCAGTCCTTGGGTTTCCCTGCAGAGTAGCTGGTGGCAGGCCCACTGTTCTTTCTCAAGGGTTCCAAAGACCCCCGGGGGTTCTTGAGACCATGCAGGAAGCAGGGATGCTTCCAGCTCACACAGCCATCACAGACGCCGAGTGAGCAGCCACCCAGGGAGGGGGGTCCCAGCTCAGTCCATTCCCATGGGGCAGGTGACTGGAAGGCAGAAGCACCCGAGTAAGCCAGTGCCTAGGAGAGAAGAAAAGTATCTGAGTTCCCAAACTTCCTGTTAGCCCTTTCCAGACCTCAGTACTTAGCGAAGACAGCACTACCAAGGCTCTATCACAGAGGGGACGAAGTTCTAACTCTGTGCCCGGAGTCCTAGCTCAGCAGTAGAGTGTGCACACCTTGTATATATAGGGTCCTCATTCCCACCAAAAGGAAAAAAGTTTTTCGTTCAGTCAGTGATCTTTGAGCTATAAACTTCAGGGCAACAACAAACACAGTGACAAGCAAGAATGTAAGGAGATGGCAAAAGACAGAGGAGTCATCTAATTGTCACTGCCTCAGGCGCTAGGGAGAAGGCTCAAAGTGCTGGAGCTTGTGCTTTGCATGGGGTAGCCCCAGGTGCAATCCCCAGCACCACAAGATATCAGCACTGCCAGGAGTAGCCCCTGAACACCGCCAGTGTGGCCCAAGAATTGAAAAATAAAATACTGCCTCTTAGTAACCATACTCCAATACACAATTGACTGTGGTTCTCTTGGGCTGAGAGAACTAGTTTCTTCACTCTTTAGGGATGTCAGATTATTCTAGCCCTACAAATTACTACTTGCACACTACTGACATACAGGAATTGAATGGTGGCCAGTATACCCAAGTTACAGGTCCCTCATTGAAAATAGTTTTCTCACAATTCTTTTATTCATCTTTTCTTGTTGTTTTGCTTTTAGATTACACCTGGCAGTGCTCAGGGCTTAGTTCTAGCTCAGTGCTTAGAGATCACTCCTGGCAGGGCTCAGAGGACTACTCTCTCTTTTTTTGGGGGGGCGGGGGATCGTCTCAACCAGTGATGCTCAGGGGTTACTCCTGGGTCTGCATTCAGAAATTACTCCTGGCAGTGCTTGGGGGGCCATATGGGATGCTGGGAATCAAACCTGGGTTAGCCATGTGCAAGGCAAACACCCTACCTACTGTACTATCGCTCTGGCCCCAGGGGACCACACTTGTACCAGGGATTGTACCCCAATCAGCTGAAAACAAGGCAAGTGCCTTATCTGCTGTAGTATCTCTCTAGCCCTATAATTGGTCATTTTCATCTATTTTGGTTTAGAGGCTACATCAAGCCAAGTATGTGTCCAGCCCTCAACTGTTAGTTAATCCTGTGTATCCGTGAAACCCGTTAATGTACTCTAGAACTACACTGTCTAATACAAAGACCATTAGCTATATGAGCTTACTTAGTGGGGGTGTCAACAGGTCTGGATGTCTTACCTTCCTGTGTCCACACCCAGGAATATCTTCCAGTTGTCCAAGCAACCATAGTTGTAATGATTCTTAAAGACCTGAAGTCAAAAAGACATGTTCATACAAATCCTTTTTACTTAAAATCCCTTTTAATTTTGGAGCCCAAAGTGGCTCAAGCTCAGCTAGGTGAGTTCTGGCTTTTTAGGACAGCTGCCCAAGTTGGTCCTGGCCATGGCCTGCCGGCAGGTCAGCGGCCACCAGCACTCCGCCCAAGCCCTTGGCCTTACTCACTCTGCCCTTGGCATTCAGCCGCCGTCGCTCCTTACTGTTGATGTGCCTCTCGATGCTGGTCTCACCTCGACTGATGAGAACAGCATGCCACACAGTCAGGGCGCCCAGGGCAAGTGCTACAGAACTAAGGAAAGGGGAAGGATTGGTGGGCAGCCGGGAGGAAGGGCTCGGAAGTGATCAACAGGGCTGCACTAGCACTGAGGGTACCTGGCTGGCTGGGGAACTCTGCTCACTTCTTACCCCAGCCTGCATCCTGGATGACCATTTCCTCCATCACAAAGTGGCCTCAACATGATCTAAGAGTATATGGTTCTTAATTTATCCAAATTAAGAACGGGCAGGTGTGTGTGGTGGTGAGGGGAGAGAGGGAGGTCAGTCTGCGTCATAATAAAAGAAATCTGTGTTTGAAATCCCCGTATCAGGAAGGCAGTGGAGGGGAGCAAAGCCACCAAGGTTAGAATGGGTTGGCACCACACCCAGATAGCTCCCCAAGCACAGAACATGACTACCTTCCCCTCCCTCCAATTCCCAGTTTTCCTAATGGCATCTCTCTTCCAGTTTAACTTACCTTGCACAGGACACACACACACGAGCACCTTCATGTGCTCTGCCCCCAGGTGCAGGGGCAAACTGGGCACGGACTCCCGTCAGCCTAAACCAGACTAAGAACTGTGCCAGTTCGCACAGGCACAGGCTCCTGTCTGCATGTGGGCACCTGGTAAGGGTTTCTCTAAAGCTGCCCCTCCCTTAAACTGAAGAACGAGAGTCAGATACCTGCACAGGAACCAGAGGTAGACAAGACTCTTGTGAGTCACCCTTTCTCGGAAGGAGAAGGTGGGTGGTGGGGTCTGCTGATAGGTCTAGAAAAAGAAAACAGCATAGTCTGGCCCCTTGGTCCTGCTGGCCTCCACCAGAGTCCCAGCCCTGTCAGGCAGGGAAGTGATCCATGCCCAGGACGAGAAACTAGGGGACAAAGCCACAGGGGAGCCGGGCAGCAGCCAGAGAGACCAAGCCCAGCCGTCCCACAGAGACAAACACCGGGCAGAGCAGTCTGGACAGGATGCAAAGCACAGGAGGAGCTGACTCTGCGCCTGAGATTCCACAACACCAATGGGGCTCCAGGGGAAGCCACTGCACCTCCCAGCGGGCACTCGTCACCGGCAGCCCTTCTGGGGAGGGGACCAGACCCACACCTGGGATGGGGCAAGGGACAGCCAGGGCTCCACGATGGAGCACCGTGGGCCTGAGATCCGCTGCGAAGGAAGAGTCCTACCAAACCTGGGAAGGCGGGACACCCAGGGTGAAGGCTGACCAGGCAGGCCCCTGGAGCCCCTATGCACAGACTAACACAGAGTCCTTGCTGCTCAGGCCTTCATGCCACAGAGACTTGGCCCAAAGATGGTGTTTGCAGGCCAAGACTGCAAACTCGCAAGCCAAGGCCACTGCTTGCTCCAGGGCCCTCGGGTGAGCCCCAGGCAGCTCCCCAGAACACTCCTGATCCAGCTACAGCTCGACTAGTGGGTCAGCCGGTTGCCTCGGCGACGCTCCACCCCCTGGCCTGAGCAGCAGGGGGGAGTGGGGTGGGGACGGCCCACCTGGTTGGCAACCGCCTGCAGTTTGTTCTTGTCGAGCTGTTTCATTTTCTACGGGAATGAAAACAGCGCTGGTTATACTCTCAGGTGGCTAGGACAGGGGGGCCAGCAGCCCCGCGCTGTGGGGGACACACTCCGTCTCCACAGCTCGCTACCATGAGCCGTCCTGCTCCCAACTCTGGGCTCACCTCGATGGCAGCATAAGCCTCCCGGAAAAGGTCCCAACTGCTGTAGCTGCAGTACACACAGCCCAAAGTCATGAAGAAGCAGAAAGAGAAGAAGTACCGGTGGTTATAGTGGCCCACACAGTTGTTTAGCCAGGCTGGCGGGAAAAGAATTAAGGAAGGACAAGATCAAACGTCCAACGGCAGGGAGTGTCCAGGCCTGTCTGGTTCATCCTTGGTTCGTGATGCTGCCATCTGAGCTCAGGGATTCCGAAATCAGTCAACAAGAACTACTTTCCAAAGGCAGGAAAGAGGCGACTCACCAGAGGTTGAAAAGCGTTAGAAGGTTTTCAGAACCCAAAGAATTCCCACTGGAAAATTTTAAAAAAAAACCCTCAGATCCTTCAGTAAAACGAATCTGTCTATACATCACCCAACAGAACCGGAATGAACCAGACTCCTAGAGGGGGAGCAGCAAAAGGGGCCCCGGGAGGCCTCTCTGCTACACCCAGGAGACAGCACGGCTGCGCAAACAGCTGTATCCATTCGGCAGAGCCGTGTCAGCACGGCTGCCACTGAGCTCCCAGAAGATGCCCTGCGCCAGCCCCAAAAGCTGCTTCCCGGGAGATGGTCAGCCCCTCACTTCTCAAGAGCCCCGTGCTCCCGGCTGGTGAGGCGGAACCGAGGAGGGTGTGGGCCCCTCCAGCCTGAGCAATGCTCTGGCTGAAGGCAGCTCGGACAGGGGAGAGAAAAGGATACGGCAGTGATGATCCATCTTCAGCACACACCTGTGAGGGAGGAACGCGGGTCATGACGGTGGCCAAGGTTCACTGGGGAACCATCAGGACCAACCCTTTCTAATCAGGCCTGGTGCCCAACTGAGGTGGAGGGTGGGGAGACAGCCAGGCCTGGCCTCAAAGCCAGCTTCCCCCGCTGCACGCCACCGAACAAGGCAACACCCGGCTTTGGACTTCAGTGTCCGCAGGAGGTGATGATAGTACCTAATTTCTAGGATCATCCG